AGGTTCAATTTTTTCAGGTTTTTTTGGAAGAAGTTTGGGTACTAAAGGATCGCAATTAATTACATCTAGTTCTATTATAGTGACAACTTTATTAGCTTTATTAGCTTTTATAGAAGTAGGTTATAATAATATACCAGTAACTATAGATTTAATAAGATGAATAGATTCAGAATCTCTTAATGTATATTGAGGTTTTTATTATGATAGCTTAACTGTTTCTATGCTTATACCTGTGTTAATTGTTTCTAGTCTAGTTCATATATATTCTATAGGTTATATGAGTCATGATCCACACAATCAAAGATTTTTTAGTTATTTAAGTTTATTTACTTTTATGATGATTATTCTAGTAACAGCTAATAATTATTTATTGATGTTTTTAGGTTGAGAAGGTGTTGGAGTTTGCTCATATTTATTAATAAATTTTTGATTTACTAGAATAGCAGCAAATCAAAGCTCAATTTCAGCTTTTTTAACTAATAGAGTTGGTGATTGTTTTTTAATGATAGGTATGTTTATAATTATATGATCTTTTGGTAATATAAATTATTCTACAATATTTTCTTTAGCTCCTTATTTAAATAGCAATATTATTACTTTAATAGGTATTTGTTTATTAATAGGTGCTATGGCTAAAAGTTCTCAGATAGGTCTTCACGTTTGATTACCGCAAGCCATGGAAGGACCTACACCAGTATCTGCTCTAATTCACGCTGCAACAATGGTTACAGCTGGTGTATACTTATTAATGAGATCTTCACCTTTAATAGAATATAGTTCTACTGTATTATTACTATGTTTATGAGTAGGTGGAATAACAACTATATTTAGTTCAATTATAGGTTTATTTCAACAAGATATTAAGAAAGTTATAGCTTATTCTACTATGAGTCAATTGGCTCAAGAATATACTATTCATTCTAGTATATTCAGGCATCAAACTATATGCGTAGAGGTTATATATAATATAATTAATTCGCAGATAACCAAAGCTCGTGATTATTTATATAATCACTATAATGTTAAGTTTTATAATTCATCTACCATTATAAGGTTATATCAGAATAATTTATCTGTGTCAATAAGATGAAAATTTAATATTATCAGTAAGTTAGTAGGAATCTCAGAGGCCATACGTTTGATATTAATCTTTATTAAATTAAATTTATTTAATTTAATCTCAAAAATTTCTATATTTAAAAAACAAGTTACTGTAAGTAAAGTTAATATTTACAAATCATCCTCTAGATTAAAAAATAGTTATAATTTAATATTATATAGAAATTTACATACAAATGTAAATACTAATAATTTAATATATAAAAATAATAATCCTGAAGATATTCATTTTAAAGAATGATTAGCAGGATTGATAGATGGTGACGGTTATTTTTTATTATCTAAAAATGGATATAATAGTTGTGAAATAACTATGGATGCCAGGGATAAAAAAGCTTTATATTTAATAAAACATAAATACGGAGGATCTATTAAACCAATTTCAAATGCTTATGCTTTTAAATATAAATTAAGAAATAAAGCTGGTTTAATAAAATTAATAAATGATATAAATGGATTAATTAGAAATCCCACGCGTTTATTACAAATGAATAAGCTTTGTATAAAATTTAATATAACCTTAAAATATTCAGATAAACGCGTGGATTAATAATGGATGATTAAGCGGATTTGATTTATTTGCACTACTAGTATACATAGACCCATATCCAATATAAATAGATGTGGCGAACTCGGAAAAAGTGATCAATAAGTCTAAAAACAAAGCAGTTAAGGGAAAGAAAAGGGCTTGTGATA